AGAGGGAGGCTGCGGCAAGGGCCGGTGGGTTCTTCCACCGCACAACCGGACCAGGCGTCCACCTGGAACGAGACAAGGTCACAAGCCACGTCCCTGGGCGGCCTGGCCCTTGTCCCGCCCCCTTGCCGTCTCACCTACCCGGCAGGTGGCCAGTGGGGGGCGCCAGGACTGGCGTGGGGCCTTCGTGGGTGGGGGGACTGCGAGGGAGGCTGCGGCAAGGGCCGGTGGGTTCTTCCACCGCACAACCGGACCAGGCGTCCACCTGGAACGAGACAAGGTCACAAGCCACGTCCCTGGGCGGCCTGGCCCTTGTCCCGCCCCCTTGCCGTCTCACCTACCCGGCAGGTGGCCAGTGGGGGGCGCCAGGACTGGCGTGGGGCCTTCGTGGGTGGGGGGACTGCGGGGCGCAGGGCCCAGTGAGGACTCCGTGACGCTGCTGAGGAGGGCTAGAGCGGCCAATGTTGGCCACAGGGCTGGCTGCGGAGAGACAGGAAGTGGGGGACTCAGGAAGGAAGAGGGTGCCCTGATGGGCTGATTTGGAGGCACTTGGGGCTGACCTGTCCTTGGCTGGTATCAGAGAGTGTTTGGGCTCCCAGCTGGGTGGGGATGTCAAGAAGGGTTTATGTTCAAGAATAAGGGATTCACTATCTCTGGAAGCCTCGGTGAGAAATCAGCTGAGGGCACTGACCATCCACAGAAGTCCTGGTCCTTCTGCCATGTGACTGAGTCCTCCCTCCTTGACCACTCTCCAGCCCACATCTGACCCATACCCAGGCCAAGTCCTGCTCTTCCCTCAGCTTAGGCCACCCTTCCTCAGTATAGTTTGGAGTCTGGGGCAATCACTCACCTGCCACCTAGGCCAGGGGCGGTGGGGCAGCGCAGTAGGGCCTCCAAGTCCAAGTTCCATCTCTATCAACACCAGGAGATCCCATCAGCCTTTGTCGACCTGTTCCCCCACCTCCCTCTTGAGGCAGCTTGCAAATTGAAAGATGAATTATCTTTTGGGGAGGTCATCTTTCCACTTAAGTTTTTCCATGCTGCAAGGGGCTTAGGTAGCATGACTCAGTCCAGAAGTAGCCACACTGAGAATCTTACTGTGTTAGATGCTTTGCGGCTCACTCTTTCCTTCCTTCCTTCCTTTCTTCCTTCTTTCCTTCTTCCTTTCTTTCTTTTTCACAGCTCCATGAACTAAATGGTCTGATCTCTTTTTTCCAGATGAGCAAACAGGCTCAGAGAGGCTCAGAGACTTATTGCCTAAGAACACAGGGTAGACCCATACCAACAGCCTTTACTCCATGCTACAGGGGAGGAAGCTGAGGCCTGGAGAAGAATTAGCGTATGCTGGTCACGGAGTTATCTGATACTGAGGCCCAGGCCACATGCTGTGTTTCTCACTTAATGTCACTGCACCTTGTTCCTCTGTGATCTCTGTTCTATATCCAAAGCCTCCTGAGTTTTCTCTTCTGACCACACGTCCCTCAGGAGGCAGCAGACGGTGGGGGCTGATGGGCCCTCTGAAAATAACAGGATTGGGCCCTGTCTTCCTATGGCCACCAGGGGGCAGAGTCTGCCAAGCCTGCAGATTCCAAGGAGGCAGAAGGTGGGCTTTTTCGATCTCTGCACTCAGGCCCGAGCCACTCCCAGGAGGGCCTGCCAATCCACATGCCAAACTGGACTCTGAGAGCTGACCCAGGTCTGCCCCCTTCAGCCTTCAGTGGCTCTGGCAGCCCAGCTCTGCTCTTAGACGTTTCCCTCCTGAGCCATCCTTCCTGATTTCAGCCAGCCCTCCCAAGTGCCACCAGCCTTTGCAAGCCCCCACAGGCTGACACTCCTGAATACCACTCTGGGGCCTCTGAACCTTCTTGATCCCTCATTAGCCAGCCTTCCCTTGAAGTCCAGCTGTTACCCTAACCCCCTTCACCTAGCACAGAGTGTCTGCACACCTGCAGGGCAAATCTCCCAGGCCTTCCTCTAGGAAGTGGTCCTTTAGGGCCAGGTGCATGTCTGTTGGTGAACTGCATTCAGAACCTTCCAAGCCAGGCCAGTGACTATTCTCACAGTTGGAGGGAAAGCCAGGCAAAGCAGCCTTAGAGGCCTCTGCATTAGGGGGAACCTAACAGTAGGCCCCTTGAGGGCAGCTCAGGCTTTGTTTCCCTCCTAGCTGCCTGGGCCACTGAGTCGTCCAGCCCAAGCCACCCTGATCCACCAGCCCACTACTCACCACGGGGGTCCTGCACTGTGTTCTTCTAGGCACCTTTCCTGGGACCAGTGCTGGGCATTCCCCCGCAGCTCAAATGGCTCATGCCCAGGGCTGTGCACCTGGCAGCACCTCTTTTAGCCAAAAGTGCGGCCTTGGCAACCAGTCTGTGCCCTGTAGCGGCAGCAGGAGCCTCACATTACAGCGGGCCAGCAGGGCTAGCACACTCCAACAAACGACAGGAGGGATTGGAGGGCCTGGGAGGGGCAGAGTGCTGCACTGAGGGCTGGGAGAGGGAGGACGGGATGAAGACCGTCCTGCCTCTGTCCATAGCCCGGGGAGTGTGCATCTAGGGCTGGGACCAGGGGATGGGCATGTGGGACGGCTTACCCTGGGTGTGGGCCTCTGAGCCCCCGACGAAGTGAGGACTGGGGCCCGAGGGACTTGCTGCTGGCGGAGCCCGCGGGTCGTGTCTGGGGGCCGAGCCCAGCTCCATCCCTCAGCAGCCTCCTGCTTGCCGTCTGGTGTCAAATTCCAGCCCCGGCGTCACCGGATCCCGGGGTGGGGCCCAGAGCGCCCCCGCCCCGCCCCACCTTTCTGGGCTCACCTGGCCCCTCTCCCCGCCGGACTCAGTCTCCACTGTTCGGCTCTGTTTCCCTGAGGTCGGGGGTATACGCTAGCAGAGGACCTCCAGATGAAAAGAGTGGAGAAGGCTGTCGGCGGAGAGGCTTGCAAACTGAGTTCGGAGTTTGTAGACACGCAAAGCAGAGAGCTGGGAGGCCGGACCGAGGGCGGGAGAGCCAGCGAGGGCGTTGGAGGGAGGGACAGGCGGGTCTCCGCCTTGGCCGAGGCCCGCTGGGCTGCAGACGCGGGGGTCCTGGATGTCTGGACCTCCCCTACTCGTTTCTCTCTCAACAGGTTGCTTCTCCGCCTCGGGCAGCCAGGTTCTGCTCTGTAGTCCCCCACCGCTCACCTCTGGGGCTGCTCGCACCTGGGTCCCTGCAGCATAGCCGTGGCCCCCGTGAGGGAGGAAGTAGGTGAGGAATGAAGGGGAGGGTCACAGAGCAGGAAGATAGGAACTGAGGCTAAAGCCTCAGGAGGGGAGGGTGCATTTCACTTGTCTAATTATGGCAATTTGGTAGGTTGGCTGGGGGTTGGGTGGTAACAGGGCTGGAAAGTTCAGGCTGAAGAGGCTGGCTTTTATCCCACTGAAGGATTCTGAGCAGAATGGTGTGATCAGAGATGCACTTTCGAGGATAACTAGCTGCAGTGGGAAGGCTGGTTCGAAACAGGCAAGACAGCTGTCACCCTAACCCCTCCCCAGAGGAGAGACGATGAGGCTTGAGCAAGGTCCTGGGCCACCCAGGCCTAATCCCCCATGCACCCTTTTGAAAATTCAGTGCCTGTTCAGGTGGGGTGAGGGAGCCTGAGGGACAGAGGTGTGCCTTTAGCTCTGGCCTGGGTGAGCAGGTGGAGGGGAAGCGGGGCTCTCTGGGGAAGGGGCTGGAGCTTATGAGTATAGCGTTGGACATGTTGAGTTGGAAAGGCTTGTGGGTTTTCCTAGGTGGGAATGTTCAGGAAGCAGCTGAATTTTGTAGCCTGGAGCAAAATAGAGAGGATTGGGCAAGTGATGGCAATCCTGGAAACACTGTTGACCAAATGACATGCAATGAGAGGGCTCAGGGAACATGTACGGACCAGCTGTACCCAAGCTATGCGCTAGAGTCACTGTGGACCTTTAAGAACTACCCACATCCGGGCTCCACCCCAGATCTGAATCAGAATCTCATGGTGAGAAGGTATAATTTTTCAGATTTGCACAGGTGATCCTGGCATATAGCCAGGGTTCAGAACCATGGTTTTTGTGAAGGAGTTTCACAACATGCTGAGGACTGAAGTCAGGCTGCTGCTGCTGCTGGGGGCTGTTTGCAAGTTCCACAGGCCCTGGTGGGACGGGAGGCTCAGCCATGAAGAGCGCTCTGCTGCATCCCGTAACTGCTGTCCAGTTGGGGGCAGCTTCCCTTCCACTTTTTCAGCCAAGGCCACCACTGACAGGCATGGCACCTAGGCCCTGCACAACTCCGGTGGGTACCATTCAGGCAGGAAGAGGCAGGACACTGGAGTAACACACTAGGGGTCTGTTTCCAGCAGAGTGTAGGGGTGTTTATGGTCTTGCCTGGCCCTCAGTCAGGGCCTTGCTTCTACTCAATGGAGGAGGCTTCTGCTTGAAGACAGACCACAGCAGTAAGGAGAGCATGTGGGAAGTCATGATCCTTCGGATGGCCAGGATTCTGTCCTCAAGGGCCTGGGGCTGCCCGCGCTCTTGGGGTGGGGTAGATCGGAATGGTGGAGTGCCCAGCCATCCCGTTCACTGTCACAGTGACAGTCTGGCAGCACGCTCCCTCCATGGACACAGACACAGGTATGAGTCTGCCTATTCTCATAGGATCTCTTAGGGGAGAGGGATCTGACTGTAAGGTGCTGAGGGGGTGAGGCGGTATGGGAATACCTTTTCTAAAGTTCCCTAGGAGATACCTGGAGCTAGCTGTGTGCCTTCCAGTCTTCTGGAGGTGGGGACTAGAAGACATGCTAGAGGGTCAGGAGCAGAAAAGGTCTGGGGCCTTGCTGTGCCTCGCCAGGTGCTACTGCTGGTCTCTTTCTCTGATGGCAAAGTGGATATGGGGCTGTGGGGGCCATCGGAAACCCCAGAGGTTTCTGAAGAAGTGAAAGGGATGTGGTGGGCTGGAGAGAAGGTTCTTGGGTTTGGCATAGTTGCTGAAGCCCCAGGTTCCTATTCATTCCAGAAAAGTCAGCAAAAAGGAGGCCAGGTTCAGGGAAGAGCTTTATTGCTTCCATGAGGGCTGCCTGGGGTGGCTGCCACAGCCTGGGCAAGGCCTTGGGCCTCACTTTCCTCTGGTCAAGGCTAAAGGCAAAACCCAAAGACCTGGCAGTTCCATTTCAGAACCCAGAACATCTGACAGGCTGGTCAGTCCAGGTGAGGAAACTGTCCTACAGGTCAGTACAGCTGGAAAGGGGAGGTCTTCCTGTCAGGCTGGGCCAGGCCTCCCCTCCTGAGCTTTAAAGTTCTCCCTGCTCTAGCCCAGGGGCTGTCTTGCTGGCTTCCAAGGAATAGCCTCAGGGCTTCCAGGCAGGACAGCTGGGGGCTGGTGAATGTGAATATCTGATATTCTCCCCAGTTAATGCCAAAGAGTGCCATGAGCTGGAAAAGGCTGTAATGAGATGCTGCCACCTCTCTGTAGCCCCAGGGTAGGACACAGGCTGGTCATGGCACTCCCATTCTCCAGGGAGCTTACTGGTACCATTGCCTGATCGGCCCTCTAGTGGGCCTCCTTCTGCATGGCAAGTGGATCAAACTTGACATCTCCAACCTCATTTAAAAATAAATTATCCCCCCTTCCCCCCACCCAAGTTCACAAAATGATAATACACCAAACATTGATTGGAGAAATGATTCTGGCAGCATCCTTGCTGCCTAATGTCCCACCTCCTGCATGCTGGGCCTGCTGGGCACAGCCTGTGGCTTCCTGGCCCTCTGGCTTCACGGACCCAGGCACTGCTCTGGCTGCCCTGCCAAGGCCTTGCTGCCTCTGGGGCCCCTTGGCACTGTCTTTCTCTGGGTCTGAAGACTCCCGCACAGGTGACTGCTGCTTGCTGTGGTGGCATCTGGGCCTCTGTGGCCGACTGCTGGGCCCACTCAGATGCCACTGCTCAGGTCAGTGATAACACGCGCCTTCACCAGCTTGCGCAGAAACTCTTTCTCTCGCTGGATGTTGTGTGTCCAGGACTGGAAGGAAAGAGATGAAGAAGTAATGAGGTGGGCAGCCCAGGTGGCTGCTGAGCTACAGCCCTGCTTGAGCCATGGTGGTGCCCTCTTCCAGTCACTACCCCCTAGATCTGTCACTGTGGACCTCTGAAGGCAGGCACTTGTCATCCACAGTGTCTGAATGACTGTGATGACCCTGCTTCAGGAGGCCAGAGCCCAGTGATGATGGACCTTTTAGAGACCGAATGTCCAAACCGAAACCCAAAACCCAAAACCCACTTATTTTTCACGCAAAGTGTCAACACTGCAGTTAAAGCTGAATGTCCGAAGCTTGGACGCAGGGGTGATGTGGCTCACATGCCGACAGCGAGGGCTCTATGTGCCTGCTGTCGCTCAGGTGCCACCACTGCCATAGCTCAACTTGCCTTCCTAAGACCCAGACAAAACTATTCTCCCACTATACACTCATTCCTTTAGGACTACGCCCCTGACTTGTGCTGTAAGCCTCAGTGCTGGAGGAAGGAGACGAGTCATGTCAGTCCAAAGCAAGCGGGTGCAGAGTCATTCTCTGGACTGATGCAATCTATTCTAGGCCTGGGGCAGCTGATGAAATCTGGCCTCCCAGATCACAGGAGCCTGGGAGGGTGAGGAGCAGAGTCTAATCTTTTTTTGCTGTTCCTTTTGTTTTCTGAGACAGGCTCTTGCTACGTAGACCAGGCTGACCTTGAGCAATCCTCCTGCCTCAGCTTCCTAAGTCCTGAGATTATAGATGTGTGCCACAACACCCAGGTTAAATGTTTATCTTTAATTGACAGATATTAATTATATATATTTACGAAGCACAATGTGATGTTTTGGTACATGTATATATTACAGGATGATTAAATCAAGCTAATTAACACATCATCTTACATCCTTATTTCTTGTGGTGAGAATATTTGACTATTGGGTTTGCTTTTTGTTTTCGTATTTGTTTTCTTTTTTGAAACAGGGTCTTGCTATGTAGCCCAGGCTGGCCTTGAACTAAGGTGACCCTCCTGCCTCAGCCTCCTGAGTTATGGGATTATAGGCATGTGCTACCATGCCTGGCTTGACTATAGTTAATAAAAATGTATTATACATTTGAAATTGCTAAAGCGGCTATGTGGAAACTACAGGGAAGACACTGCCTTCCAGGGTTACCAGGACAGGGTTCATCTCATCCCATGTGCTCTCACCAGGAGGCTCAGATGACTAAGTACCTCAGATAACAAAAAGGTGTGATGGATGGACGGATGGAAGAAAGGAAGGAAAGAAGGAAGGCAGGGAGGCAGGGCTAGGGGAGGAAGGAAAGAGGGGAGGAAGGTCAGTGGCCTCATCGTTCCTGTGCCACTGGCCTGCTTGCTGCCCTCACTGGGCCTGAGCCTCACTGTACTGACTCACAGCCACTGCATCCTGGCGCTAAAACTCAGGCCTCTATCCAGCCCTTATTCTGCCCTGGCAACCTCTCCAACCTCTCAAATCTTTTCAATGTGAAACTCAAGCAGTCAGCAGCAGCATTCCCTGCAGCCCTCTGCTCTGAACTTCCTTCAACTTCTTGTTTGAGCCACAAGCTGGCTTCCCCGAAGGACAGCACCCCTGACTCAGTGTTTCCTCCCTCTCTGCGTCACCTGAGGTGGTGGCTCTCCTCTACCCTCCGTCCTGTTTCTAGCTGGCTGTCCTCCCACACTCCCTACAACCCCCGGCTGCTCCTAACAATCTGTCATTACACTTCGATGTCCGCAAACTCCTCCTTTGTCGCAGATCCTGAGGACCCACCCCAATCTTTGAAGATCCCAGTGTCTGGCTCACTGTCTCTGAGGGCAGGCACTGCTAGGTACAGAATAGGTGCTCAATAAACATTTGTTGAATGAAATTAAGACTTTATAGGCAAGAAGCAGGCTCACAGGAATGGCAGAATTAGGATACAAACACCTACAGATACTAATAAAGCTCCATACTTGCCCCACATCTCCCCTTGTGAGAAGTTTGATGGGTCAGTTTCAAGAGCACCCACTAGGAGTCACTGAGGGCTAAGAGGTTAGCAGAGGACTATCTGATGATGCTGAGGAATTACTGTTAACTTTTAAAGATAGTAGTAACAAAAATCAGTTACTTATCCTTTAGAAAAACAGAATGAAGTATTTATGGCGGGAATAATAAGACATCTGAGACCCACTTCCAAGTGATCAGTGGGGCTGGGAGCATGAGAGGAAGAAGACGTGAAACAATATTGGCCGTGTGTTCATAAATGACACACGGAAGTGCACTGTGTCACCTCTTGGCTTATGAATGTGTTGGACAATCTACTTTCAGAATGAAAAAGAAGGCAGAAAAGTCTGCTACAGGGTGATACCAGTCTGCTCTCCAGGTGATGCCCCTCTTGGGTGCTCGTCCTAATTTCTCTTTTGTGGAGACAACTTAGGAGCCTTGCAGAGCTTCCGCAGTGCTGTGGACTGATGCAGGACTCTGGAGACAGATGCCCACCACCAGTCCACTCTCAGCAGAGTCCCCCTCCTTTTTAGCCCTCACCCCCCTTTTTTGAGGCAGGGTCTCACTATTTGTCTAGGCTGGACTCAAAGTCAGGATCTTCCTGCCTCAGCCTCTCAAGTGCTAAGATTATAGGCATGTGCTGCCATGCCTGGCCTCTGTTTAGCCTCTGTCTGGCGCCTCTTCCTTTGCCCAGCCATTGAATGCTGGTGTCCTGGCATTCTGCCCTGACCACACTTCCTACTGTCTTCTCCAGGGAAATTGAACAAGCAGTTGTGCTCACAGCTCTGTCTATATTTCTAGCCCACATTTCACAGTTGTGTGGCAGATCCTGTATGAACTTCTCTACCCTCCAGCTACTTCTCAGCTTTGCCTCTTTCCCTCTTCTCTGTCCCAAAGGAGCATTTAGCAGGTGAAACTCCTGCAGCCTAGGGAGGCCTCTGTTCACTGTTCACTAATGCACCTGGCTCCTACTCCCTGCACTGTGGGGCTGTTCTCACCCCAGCTAGCAGCCGTCTCTTAGCTTTTACCTCTTGCGGCCAATTCTCATGGGATTAGTGTCTTTCTAGGACACTCAGGAAAGTGCCTGCACCCCATCCCCATGTACAGGCACAGCGAGAAGACAGCCATCTGTGAGCCAGGGAGTGGGTCCTCACCAGACCTGAATCTGCTAGTACCTTCATCCTCAATTTCCAGACTCCAGGACTGTGAGAAATAAAGCTTTCCTCTTTAAATCACAGAGTCTAGTATTCTGTTAGATCAAGAACCAAAAGAGCCTAATACAACACATGGTAACTCAAGATGGGGATGCAGATGTGGGGAATATGCAGGGTGAGAAGAGAACGTGGGGTGGAGTGATAGCTCATCTTGATTCCTACACAGTAGAGCAGAACCAATGGATTGAGACACAGTGAGAGAGACGGGCGCGTGAAAGAACAGGAATACCAGAAATTAATGACTCAGAATCCAAGCAGGAAGGAATGGCCCACACGTAAAAAGTGTTTCTGGGATATCACAAAAGACAACGTGGCCATACTGGGCAGCCTTGAGATAGGTCACTGGCAACCTCAGAGGAAGGTGTGTCAGGTGTGTGTGTGGCAGTGAAGGGCTAAATGAGAGAGAAGTGCTGAGGGGTGCTCTAGTGGAAGCCCACTGAGTCCCCAAGGAAGCTTCAGCTTCCTCACGGAGGAGGGTGGCCAGGAATGTGCGGAGTGCGAGGCTCTGGATCAGTGTGTTAGGGCTGGGAGAGGCAGGAAAGAGACTCATGAGCAGAAATAAGGACTAGTGAAGACCACAGCCTCCAGACTCATGACTTTGAACAGTAACAGGTTTTTCCAAACCACACAGTCATCCAGATATAGGGGCAGAAAAGCTGCGTGGGGCACTGACCCCAAGACTTACAAGTTTCAGGATGGGTCTGTGGGAGGCTGATGATAGAAGCTAAGGTATGGGGAGAGAGTTGAGATTTCACACGAGATCCTTGTGGTACAGGGAGAGATGCCAGGAGCGGCTGACCGAAAGTCCGGGAAGCTCCCTGTACATAAGGACTGCCTGGGAGCAATTCTGGGTGACACAGAGCACGTGTTTCACTACAGGAAAGGTAGAGGAGGTACATGGGATGTGGATTGTGTGAGGGCAACAAAGCCCTCTAGGGAAAGGCAGGGATGACAGAGAAGGTGATCTGACCTAGTGCCAAGACCAGTGTGCGACAGGCTGATAGGCAGCAAGGAGACGTGAGGTGTGGGGTGAGCTGCAGAGCAAGGGCAGGGAGGGCCCCACAAAGAGAAAAGGGTGAGGAGGGGGTGTTGGATTCAGGGGGTGGCTGGAAGAGCAGTAGGTGGGATGTTGGTGGTCAGCCTGCATACAGGGTGGACCTTCAGGGCTCTGCTTAGCTCAGAGTGGGCAGGCTCATGCTGGGGTGCTGTGGGTAGCTCTCAGAAGCCAGAACAGCTGCTGCCCTGTCCCTGTCCCGCTCGCTGCATACATGCAGTGCAAGTCTGTCCTTGTGTCGGAAGCCCCCTCCCTCGGCTATGCCCGGATTCTGTTCCCACACTCAGCTCGAACCTCCTTGATGGCTGCCATGCGTACGGTCTCATAGTAGTGCAGGGGTGCGTTGGGCGTGCTCATGTCGTAGCCGAAGCCTGCAACTGCCACCTCATCACAGCCATGCAGTGCCATGGTCACTGCCACACTGCCAAGGGTCGGGATATTCTGGAGGAGGGCGGAGAGGAAGTGTGTGAAGTTCAGCCAGAGCGCTGAGGCTCAGGTAAGTGCCATTTCCAAGGAGGAGCTTCCTCGGCACAGAATTCCCTCCCAGGACCACTGCCTCCCTCCCGCCCTTCCCTTCCCAGGGCACCTCTGGGCCCGTTCCTACCCTCCCTCTTCCAGGACCCAGGAGTCTCACCCCCCGGCCCATTAGGCCGTTGTTGAAAGGCAGTCCGATGAGGGTGAAGGCGGCTTCCTGAATGAAATACGGGTTGAGGATGCGGATCTCAGGGGGCTCCTTGGGCACTCGAGTGGCCACAGATTTCCAGAAGCCATCTGATGCACTCTGAGGACACAGTGTAAGTGGGCATGAGCTAGACACGCAGCTCATTATGGGTCAGGCGATTGGTAGGGACCAGAATTAGCACAGGTAAATGGGAAGTGAGGTGTAGAAGGGCAAGCTGGGGCCTGTGACACAGACCAGCAGGTGTAGGAAGTGGTGGGAAGAGTGAGCACATTGGGGACATGGTGTGTAATAGAGGACACACAGTGAGTTGTGAGGAGGGTGAAAGGCGTGGGACACTCAGAAACGCTGCTGTGGCCTGAGGGGGCCCTTGGGCCAATGGGAGGAACCAAGGGTCCAGATGTCCTGCCTCCTCACTGCACTGACCAGGGACCTGGCCTCTCCCTCCTATGTGCTCTGCAGAACTTGTCTCTTTTCCCTTCTATTCTCTCCTGGCTCTCAGTAAACTGTGCTAAAGTGAACCTGAAAAATAAAGACAAAATGTGAGCTCTACAGAATAGCAGAATGAAACTCAAATTGCAGTTCTGCTACTAACTAGAGTTGGGTGATGTCAGCTTCGTTAACTGTAAAATGAGATACTCTTCCCTCAAGGATCTGGGAAGCTATCATCCCTGAAGCCTGACAGCCTATGTCTGTTCCAGCCCACAACCTCCTTTCTAAACCCACTCCTTTCTTCTCATCCAACTACATGGAGACCTCTGGTCCCCCAGCCCTTTCTGGTCTAGACCCTGATGTAAATCTAGAGCCTGAAAAAAATCAGCTACTATCTTATGAGACCCTTTGTTGTCTTGCATCTTGTCCTTCTCTTGCCCTAGACAGGGAAACTGACCTTGGCATCAATCCATCCTTCCGCTTTTCTACTCTTACAATTGGGCTCCTGAGTACTGCTGGAGGAAGCTGCAAACCAGTCCCAAAGCTGGAAGAATCACAACTGGCTCCAAAGTAACTGTATTGACCTCAGGATGAATGGAACAGACTAGAAGATGCAGAAACAACTCCAAACACACTCAGCCAACCTTATCTTTGACAAAGGGGCTAAACACCGTCACTGGAAGACAGCCTCTTTAACAAATGGTTCTGGAAAAACTGGCTTTCTACATGCCAAAGATTAAACCTAGACTCATATCTCTCACCATGCACTACTGTAAAATCAAAATGGATCAAAGATCTAAATATTAAAATAAACACTAAATCTGCTGCAAGATAGAATAGGTAGAATGTTTGAAGACATTGGTATAGGCAAAGGCTTTATGAATAAAACCATGATTGCACATGAACACAAACCAACAACTAGGATCTCTTCTTATTAAAAAGCTTTACACAGCAGAAGAAACCACCAACAGAATGAAGAGCCAACCCACAACGTGGGAAAATTTTTTTGCCAATTGTCCCTTAAAGGACTAATATCTAGAATATATAAAGAACTCAAAAAACAAACAAACAAAAAAAAAACCCCACATTTGAAGAGCCAATCCAAAAACAGGGATCTGAAATAAAAGATACTTCTCAAATGAAGTAGAAACAGAAAACAAATATTAAAACATATTCAATATCACTGGTCATTCAAGAGATACAAATTAAAACCATGCTGAGATTCCATCTCACTTTAGAAAGAATGGCTGTTATCAAGAAATCAACTAGTAACAAATGCTGTAAGGGCTATGAAGAAAAAGGGACCCTTCTCCACATTTGGTGGGAGTGTGGACTGGTGCAGACACTGTGGAAATCAGTGTGGAGATTACTCAAAGAACTAAAACTGGAGGTTTCATTTGACCCAGCTATTCCCCTTCTTAGTATCTTCCTGAAAGAATTGAAAGCATTGTGCTACAGCAATATATGCACACCCATGTTTATAGTGGCACCGTTTGTAATAGCTAAATCTTGGAAACAGCCCAATTGCCCATCAACCAATGACTGGATAAAGAAGATTTTTTTTTTAACCCAGTGGAGTACTACTCTGCCATACAAAGGATAAGCTTGAGACATCTATAGCTAAGTGGATGGACCTTGAAACCATATTCTGAAGTGAAATAAATTGGACACATATTTAAATGTTGCATTGTTTCTCTGGTATGAGGAGCCAAAGTGTAAACAAAGAACCAAAATGTACAAAAAATGTTGGGAAATAGGAAGAAAATGTTCAAATGAGAAGGGGAAAAAGGGAGGGGGGGCGGGGAAAGGAAAGAAGGGACAAGAAAAAAAAAGAAGGAAAAAATGGTAACAAAGCTTTTGTAAATAAGCAGGGGAAGAGGGGTTAAAAGAAGGAGGGGGATGGGGGGAAAGCAACATATATCATGTACAAGTATCAGGTACAAATTCCCTAAGATGAATGTTACCTTTATGTATATCTAAAATGTACAAATTTTTAAAAAGCAACTCTTGTTTTCCAGCCAGTTTGTTATTTGCCTAGAAAACCTAAAAGGAATCAACTAAATTTAGAATGGTTAAGATAATTTAACACATCAGGAGGAAACAATCACCAGATTAAAAAAAGAGACCCCATTAGTAATCATAACAAAAAAATCCAACACTGAGCATTAAACTTCAGAAATCTAAAAGGCCTATATGAAGAAACTATAATCCTTTATTGAAAGACATCAATACAAGTCATTGCAGACAACTTAAAAAATGGGAGAGACAAATCATATTCCTGGAGGGAAAGGCTGAAAGCCACCTCCTCTCAGATTAATGTACAGATTTAACATAATTCTAAGAACAATCTCAATAGGATTTTTTGAAATTTACCAGAAGTATTCCAAAAAATCTATTTCAAAGAAAAGGTAAAAATAATGCCTCCGATTAAAAATTAGGTTTTCAGGTATTTATGGATTCGTGTTAATACAACAGTGACACACATGTAAGAGTCAAGACAGCCAGGACTGGTGGCGCACGCCTATAATCCCAGCACTTGGGAGGCTGAGGCAAGAGGATTTCCTCAAGTCTGAGGCCAGCCTGGTTACATTACGAATTCAAGGCCAGCTGGATTACATAGCGAGATCCTGTCTCCAAAAAACAAAAACAGTAAAAGAATCCAGACAATGAGCCCTGAGATAGAATCAATACACGTACAGGTTATGATAAAGGAAGCATCCACCAACAGGTGGAACAAGTGATCACTGAAGATTTGCCACCTAGCTTCTCCTTTCCCTCATACTATACTCAAAATAACTAGGTGTTAAAAAGTATAAAAGATATAAATTGTCAAGCTTTCAAAACATCAATGTAATAGAAGAAATAAAGAATTGCGCCTTCACAGTCTTAAGTGCTAAAATATAATCTGAAAAATTAAGAGGTAAACAAAAAGGTGGGGAAAATCTGTCAAAAAATCTAAAAAATTCATATAACTCATACAAAATCAATGAAAATGAGGAAAGAGGGTTTACAGGTGGAGGGAGAGAGGTGGGTGGGAAGGGGATTAAAAAAAGAAACAAGCTATGTTATGCACATGTGCCTTCTCCCCCAAATGAATGTAAACTTAATGTACTGTAACATGCACTAATAAAAATAAAAATTAAAAACAGATGAGGTCCCATCAAAATGAATAAATGTCATTTAAAAAGTCAATAAGCATGAAAAAATTAACTCAATAGTGACAAAGAAATGCACATTGAACTAACTGGATAATATTTTTTACCCACTAAGATATGTATATGTAAGTGTTAATTGTGACGTGTCGATTTAAGAACTGCGTAGCAGATCAGTACAACTCTAGGCGCGTCTGAGGACTGACATGTAGGCTGCAAACTGAACACAGAAGGCCCACCCACCCCAGATATGGGTGGCACCAACCAGTAGGCTTGTAGCCCAGTTGGAATAGAAAGGCAAAGAAATAAGTCCTCTTTTTTTGTTTTCCTTTGGAGGAGGCTCCGTCTTCTCTATTCACTGACTTTGGATGTTCATTTCCAGTTCTTCCAGGCTTCCAGTGTAGACTTTAGCCTTCCAACAGATTCACAATGGACTCTGCATTGAACTCCGCCTTTTGACCTTTGACTGGATCCTGTGGCCCTCTAGCTTGCAGGTGGCCCTCTTGCATTCTTCCATCTCTGACTAGCAGACAGCCACGGGGATTCTTCTGTGTCCAACCTTATAAACCTATCTAATAAATCCTTTTTATAAGCGTACATATACTTTATACTAAATCTTTTTCTAGAGAATGCTAATCCCGCATGTGCATGCTCAGTATACCTACATATATGCCCCAGCAATGGTGGTGGTAGCTGAAGTAGAATTCTCCCTGTTCTCAGAGAAGGAAAATTTCGTACAGCTTTTCTAGAAAATGCTACCAGATGATATGCATCTGAAGTCTTAGGGCCATTTATACCTATGATCCCAACATTTCCCTTCTCAAAGTAATCAGAATGAGGAAGACCTCTGTAAAAGTGTGTTTTGTATTATTCATTTATTTATTTATTTTGGTACTGGGGATCAAACTCGGGACCTTGTGCTTGTGAGGCAGGCAGAGGAACCACTGAGCTAAATCCCCGGCCCAAAAGTGTGTTTTTAAAAGAAAATTGTTTTGTAGTTTTATTTGAGACAGGGTCTCACTAAGTTGCCCAAACTGGCCTTGAACTTGTGATCCTCAATCTCAGGCTTCAGGGTGGCTGGGGTTACAGTGTGTGTCACCATACCTTGGTTATTACAATACTATTTGTTTGTTGTTGTTGTCCCCCCCACCGCTTCTTCTTTTTTTTTTTTTTTTTTTGTACCAGGGATTGCTCAAGTTCT